GCGCTTTTCACTGAACATCTGGGATCTTTTAAGTTATTTTATTACTACCGTATTCTCTGTAATTACCGCCCACTCTCTAATAAGCGCCCACCCCGCTTCACAAAGTTCAAGAAACATCGAGGAATCATAATAATCCATAATGAATGAAGGAATTGTTCTTTATCGGCATTCAGAAATTTCAAAAGCTACTGCGCAGATGTTCTGCGCATGTCAAGGTCGTGAACTTTCTGGTTTCTTTTTAATGTTTCTCGACTTTTACACGACTTTTGCACGAATAATGATGATCTCTCATCAAATTAGAAATAATGTATAACTTTAGATCGATATCCAGCAGTCTCTAGTGGAAATATTGAAGGTAATCGGCGATAATGACAAAGTGGGCGTGCCGGAAATTCAACCACTGTCAATATTGTCTAAGCGATCTTTACCGTATTCTCTCCAATAACAGCACTTGTCATATTATTATAAAAATATGTTGAAGAAAATGCATTCTTGTCAAGAAAAATTGCCATACATGAAATTCCTCGGGATTTCTGATTTCTTTCATACAAGGGCGCTTATTAGAATGGTCTAAATAATGTATTTTCAATTTTCTAAACGCCCTGGGCGCTAATTACAGAGAATACGGTAGTATGTTTTTCAGATTTGTCCTTTCTTTTGCATTTTTTGGATCATTGTTTTTAGATCATCTACATTTTATTTTGGAAAAGTAACAAATTGGTTCAATTTCTTTACAAAGAGCCACTCTTAGTCTCCACTTCTACAATTGCTTCAATTCCCAATTGTACTCCACAGAGTAGCAAACAACAGAAAATGAATGGATAATGATAGCTGCATCCCAATGAACAAAATGTGATTACCTAAATCGAGGTTTCATCACTTTCATTAATCTAAAATGAATTAGAAATTATTTTTCTATTTTCAAATTTCTTCCGTGTGCATGTAATAAAAATTGGTTATGTCTTAGGCCCTAAGGATCTGAAACCTGCTGGTCAAAATGGAATTACAGACCAGTTGCAATGTTATTCTCCTATACCCAGTGAAAAAAACAACGGTCTTTATCAAAAATAACCTGATAATAACCAGCTAAGGCCCTTAGGGGCTACATTGTAATGTGCTGGGAGGTTTAGGCTACAGGGTTTATACCGAGGGAAATATGTGGGGGACCCTATTGGCATCATTGGTTTCAATGCATTGTACTTCTGCCTTAGTTTCAAAGGCAATAAATTCTTTTTGAAGGGTGTCCTGAGATTCCAAAATTAAGAAATAATTGTACTTATTTGAGAAATTGATTTTAAAGTTTTATAAATTGAATTTTCTTTATTTTATTAGATAATATTCTTTGGTTTTTGAAGATTTTTTTACGAAGCAAAACATTATTTTTCATTCTAGATACAATAACATGCATATTGGCATACTTTGTTTTAATATAAGATTGTTATAACTCCAAGTTTTGCAAGTCACATGACCAATTCTTAGAGAGTTGATTGGTTGAAACAGTTGATATCAGATATGACAATTTGAAATTAGAAATAAGCTGTTATTCCAGTGGGAAATTGTATCAACTCCATTTCCATAGTTTTAAAAAAGGATCTTGTAAATTGTTTCAAGGTATGATATTTCATATAAGATATCTCTAGGGTGAGACCAGGTGACATACAAAAAATCAAGTTTCACATAGCAATACTAAGTAAGATACAGACCTCTAAACTTTCAAACCTTGATTTCTCAGTTCCGTAAAAATGTGAGATAGTACAAAGTTATTCTCATGCGACGATACATATTTTGTTACAAAGTTCTACGATCAGGAAAACATTTTTAATGACGTTAGAACATACGTACGTATACTTTAAAAACTGGTTATTTCATGATTAACTAATGATTAATTATGTATTTGTGTTAGGTGGTCAATGTTGCCGTGGAATAATTGTTTCAAAACATGCTGTAACATTATACACACTAGCCTACCCCCATACAGTAATCTCTTTTCTTTAAAAGTGGTACAGGCTACAGTGAAGTTGCAAATGGAGGACTTCGTTTATTTTGTCACCCTGTACCTTTTATACATGTCATTTAATCTTTTTTAAAGCATTAAGACATTGTTTTTATTACTTAAAATGTATTGACACCAAAACATTACCACATGCATATTTTTTACTATTGCAGACGTTTGCATCCTGTTTGAACCATCTTTTTGAAATTTTGCAAATTCTATATTCTCTAAACTTGTATTCATTTTTATAAAAAATCAATTGATGTCGTACTTGAAATGCACTTATGTGCTAAAAATTAAAAAAAAATATACACAAGAAGTTGTTTTTAGGGCAACAATACTTCAATTTTTGGAGCAGGTTAGAGACTATAGATCCATCGAGCAGTTTGTGTTGTATTATTACAAGAAAAGCCCTATAACTAAACTAAGATAGAGAATACCCGCTTCATTTGCAACTTCATTGTAGCCTGTATCCCATTCAAAGAAATACAGGCTACAGTATGGGGGCATGGTAATGTGATATACGGACATATATATTTTGTCCACCCTGTATTTGAATGATCAAGGGCAACGCGGATATGGCATTGTTGTCCATATAAATGTCAATGCAATTATATTTTTATGGTTTTGTGTCGAATACTAGCATAAATAACACGAATGTCATAAATAAAACACACTACTGTATGTTATGTGCATTGAAATGATGCTTATATTTTACTAATCCTCGTGGAACATGTTCTGCTTGAATATTGCAATTTGTATAAGTATAGCCTTTGTTTACGATCGTAATGATTCAATGAAACCGATGTGATTGGGAATATGTAGCGAGTCATATGTCCTATTGTCCTGTATTTTGTCTAAACTAATAAGTACTAAATCCCGACCTCATAAATGCTTAAAGTTTTGAGAGATGTTAATGATAAAACGATTGAAACCGCAATGAGGTATTGCCATCTTTATAAAATATCAAGGACCTAATAAATTAATGATATCGTTGTGAAATACTGACGGTGTAGTCCATTTGTCACCCCTATACATCCTATAGTGAACCTAGAAATTATTAAAAGTACAAAGTATTATGGTCAATTCATGATAATAAGATTTTTTTGAAGTGATTTAACTGGGTTGGACAAAAAGTTAGTTTGGGGAAAAAATAATATAGGCGAATTAAGGAGGCCATTATTGAAACATTGATTTTTTCAATACCTTGAAAAGTAACAATGGTAGCAGCATAATTATTTTGTCTAAACCTATGTTTTCAAGGTTAATGAATAAGATAATGTTAAAATATACAAGAACAGCTAATTAGATATTGTGCAAATAAGCACGTTTTATGATTGAAATATCGCATTTATTAAAGATATTTTGTATGTCAAGATTACAAAACAATGAATATAACTGGCTAAGTAATCAAGGGTTTCCTTAGTGATTAATTTGGGGGAAATTAAATAAATAACCTTTGGGGAAAATCATATATGTAAATTAAGGCGGCCAATATTGAAGAATTGAATTTTTACATTCTTTTAAAAGTAATAATGATAGCACCACAATTACTGTGTCCTTACCCATGTTTTCAGGGTCAATGAATAAGATAATGTAACAAGATACAAGAATAACTCCTTATATATTAATGTGAATATGAAAATTAGCATATTTTATAATCGAAATATCACATTTATTCAAAATATTTCGTTTATCAGGTTTACAGTGCAATTGAAAGTACTCACTAATTGAGGGTTTCCCTTCGTGATTTAAGTTTGTTGCCAAAAATAACTTTTTATAGTATAATAGTATTATAATTAGACAAAACTATTGTATATTGTAACTTTACTTAATTCGTAGTCTTGAATATTTCTGAGATAATTCAACAATGGCTGCCCTAATTTGCATAATCACAATGATTAATGGTTTAATCCTTTTTATTATCATTTTATCTTATTCTTTGACTCAGAAAACCTGGGTTTAGACACCAGTTTTGTTATGCTACTTTCCTTAGTCTCAGACATTTTGAAGATAATTAATAATTTGATAATGGCCACGCCAGGCCACCTTAATTTGCATAATCATAATCATTATTGTCGTTTAAACTATTTGATTATCTATCTTATTATTTGACCCTAAAAACTGGGTTTAGACACCCGCATTGTGAGTTTTGTGTGCTTAGTTTTCGAAATATTAGGGATAACCAATAATTCGATAATGGCCGCCCTAATTTGCATAATCATAATCAATAATCTTTTTCTGATAAGGCCCAATTTATTGTATTCTTTGACCCTGAAAACCTAGGTTTAAGGACCAATATTGTGATACTACTGTACTTCGTCTTCAAAATATTGAAGGTAATCACTTTTTCAATAATGGCTGCCTTTACTTTGCAAAATAATAAAATAATTGTTCTAATCTTGATTATTGTAATTTCATCTTATACCCTGACCCTGAAAACCTGGGGTTAGATACCAATATTGTGATGTTTCTGTACTTAGTTTTCAGAATATTGAAGAAAATCCCGTTTAAGATAATTGGCCACTTCATTTGCATATATAATTTTTCCCCCAAAGTTGCCTTTTGTCCAACCCAGCTAAATCACTTCATAAAACCCTTATAATAGTGAATACACAATAAAACATCGTACTTTTACATATTTCTAAGTTCAGAAAATGACAAACGGACTAGTGTCACATATTGACATTTTAATTGTATTCACAACTAACATCGTTATCAGAGCTTTTTGACCCATACTCCATCGCATTTATTATCATCTTCCTGTGCCCTCCTTAACAAAAGGTACGGCCATGAAAGACTATTGCATTGGCATCAGCATTACATATCGATAATCACTATCGTCATCAGCTATTTGGTTTACATCGTTTCATCATATTTCTGTCATCTAGTCTTCACCACATCAATTATTGGTCAGCAACTATTGAAATTACCATTAACGATGGGCAATCATAATCAACAACTGACAATGATATCAACTATTGACATTTCCCATTAACGACTGACATCGTCATCAACTTTTTTCATTCGTATCACTGACGGATCCAGAAGCTAACAAGGGGCACATTTCAAATCAGAAAAAAACTTAGGCGCCTAAATCTAAAAATTTAAGGCCCATTTTATGATAACTTGGCTAAAAAGGCCCCAAAAGGCTAAGTAATGCCCAAAAGGCCCACTAACTGAGGCCCTGCAAAATTCTTGGGCCCAATTTTTTTTCTGGGATCACCCAAGGGTCAGGGTAAGGATGCCCCCCTCCCCTGGACCCGCCAGTGCGTATCCATATAAACCTATATGCCTATTAAATACCTATTAGAAGCGATGGTCTGTGGATATCAGTGGCGATATACTCGTAAATATATGATAATACCAATGCCTATTATAAGCGTAACTCCCGGCGTAGCTCTTTGGATATCAGTGGCGATATGATACCAGTATATCAGTTTCTCCATCAGTCACAAATTCGACATTTTAAGATGATTATTTTGAAGCTGGTGGATTTTGTTGATGTGTATATGTAGTATTTACAACACTATAAGGCAGTGGCATCTTTAAAATCGTCTAAGTTTATAACTACACGTTTTCCATTAATGTTTGTGTTGAGGTTTGGCGTTGATGGTGTTGAGTCGTCTGGGGGTTCCTCTTTCATTGCGAGGTCGGCCATCGCCGATAGTTTATTGGTTAGATGAGGATTACCCAGTTTCATATTTTTTAACTTTAACGTCTCTATCTGCATATACAGTCTTTTAAATTCTTCCTGAAAAATCAATTAGATCAATATTAAACATTTATATACTAAGAATAATTTTACTTAAGGAAAGTTTATTCTAAATTCTTCTTAAAAAGGTACACCCCAAGTAAAAATAATTCATATACTGAGAATACCTTAGCGCCTTTAACATTCTTCTTGAAAAACATTTACATCACTTTATGACGCTGAAAATACGTTTGGTTTTTAACTTTTATACGTCTTTAGAATTCCTCTTGAAAAACAATTGCGTCACTTGAGAACATTAATATATTGGGAACATTTTGATTGTAATACTAAATCTCTTAAATTCATATTTTGAGTTCTTCTTGAAAAATACCGATAACACCACTTGTTGACATCAAAATTGAGACTTTCTTAATTTCAACGCATTCTAAATTTTTCCTTAAAAGTAATATCACGTTTGTATGCGGAAATGATGTGAACACATTAATTTATATATTGAAAAATTGTTAAATTATGACTAAATTTACATATTTTGAATTTTTCTGGGACCAATAACAGTATACTTAAAATATTTAAACTGTGTTTTGAATTTCTCTCGAAAATCAACAACATCACATACATAGGGCCTGGAACATGTACAATCAAAGCATTGACATGCAAAATGTCACAAGCTGCCATTAATTACAGATGTCGAACGCCGACACCCGAGTCCTGAACGTCGAACAACAACCCCGAACGCCAAAAACCGTCCACAAAAATTTGGAGACCAAAACAATATGTCACTTCTTGCAAATTGTTGAGGTAACATTAAAAACGGATCTGAGAAAAATATTTTCTACTTAATCATACACGTACCAGGGCCTATGACCTGGAGACAGATTTGTTAGGTCACCATGTGCCCATGTTGCAATAAACTGTGTAACATTATGATATACAGTTTTACCTTAAGACTCAAGATTAAAGAGATTTTCCGCTTGAGTAGTATATAACACTTTGTTTTACTCCAATGAAGGAAGAGCAAATAGGGGATAGAGGGAAACAAAAAGAAAGGGGATATTGGAGTAAGCGAGATAAGAATAACGCTGCCAGCGTTGTATATAAGCAAGTGTTTCTCTATATCTACATTTAGTTTCGCAAAAAGGGCAAAGACGGTCTGAGGAATTAAAGGGATGTATTTTTCGAATAGTTCTGATTTACTGCAATTACAATTTACTAGGGTTAATCTAAAAAATTCTAAATCATTCTGTCAAATTTTTAGTTTTGAAATTCAGAGAAATACGTGCTCAAAATAGTTTAATCATATTAAAAGTCTCAAAAAGAAATTTGCGATTGGTATAAAACATTTTGATCACCACTCGTAATATACTTTACAAACCTGTACATCTTTTTCTATACCACCATTTTGCTGGCATTCTTCAAGTAGGAAGGTTGTAGTATTACCACTAGAGTCTAGATTACTAAGCATTGTGCCCCCTCCCTGGGATTTTGGCGCGGCCATGTATTTTGACCCTCGACTCATGGCTGTTGGGCAACTCTCCTTATCGGAATATTTATACACTACATAGGCCTGAAATAAAATATTTTAAATATTAAACCAACCCCGGTCCTGACCTTGATCCTTAAATCCATCAATATTAAACAATTGCAATCTACAAATTTCAACATTTATAGATTTTGACATGAACTATTTCAGTTCAAAAACCTATTTCAGTTCCTTTCTACCAATTCTTGAGAATGAAATAAAATGTTTTTCCGAACCTTGTTGGAACAAAATAGCATACAACATTTTCTTAAACCTCTCAATATTATAGTTATACTTTTGGTTGATTTAACAAAATGTGTGCAAAAACCTAAAACAAACCCCCCAAAATAGATAAAAATTTAAGATAAACCTTTTATTTCATTAACAAGATACTTTTTTAAAATCAAATGGTGGAACCAAATTTTCCTTTTTACAATTACAATATCGAGAGACCTAAACACGTTGTGTTTATGTCGTTTTGCTCCAATGAGGTTCGGATAGATGTTTTATTTCATTCCGAACATATGATACCAAGAACAAAAGAAGTGTCTGATGTGTTTTCTAAAACCATATATAGAAAAGTATATATATATACTTCAAATTATAATGCTACCATCCAAAAGATGACCATTAAATTGAAGATGTGTAAAATTTTCAGAACGTTTTGATGACTGATTTAAGAAAAATGCGTGTTCAAAAAGTTCACCATATCGATACCACTCCTTTAAACTTTTCCATTTCATCTTTTTTCAGATTTAGCCAGTGTACACAGTGTTGCATTTCTATACAATTCAGAATGCCAGCTACATGACTGGCTATTTCAAATCTTGCGAGTATACTATTTTCTACTATTTTGATGAATAGATAAGCGATTGTTCCAAATCTAGAAGTAGCTGATTTTCTTGCATTTCTATACGAGACAATTCAGAATGCCAGCTACATGGCTGGCTTTTTCAAATCTTGCCAGCGCACTTCTTTTCTACTTAATGTTGAATTTTAAAAACATGGTTACAATGATTTAATCACATACCTTACTGCCAAATAGAAAAGCTAATGTGACTGTTGTTGTTAACTGAGTGTGGATGAATACAACTAAATACAGCAGATCTGGATTTGCAGGCTCTTGGAGAAAAAACCTGGAATAGATTAACGTTCAATAAAATCAATCAGCGTGAATCAAACGCTGTAATACAATGCGTTTACTTTGTCTGTATTTAAGTACGGGTTATTGTGAACTGTATACTGTATGTAGATATATTTTGTTACGATTAGTTCAGAAAGAAATTTCAACTTTGCATTATTAACTGTTCTTAATGGCAAAATGAAATTGTTTTGTTCTTCTTGTGAAAAGTGAGTATTATTTCATAATAATCTTTGCTACGCTCATTCCACGTGGTCCCTATTTACACGTGGTCCAAACAGTTCTGACTTTGTTTCAAGAAAGTCTTTCCATTTTTTAAAGTTTATCTGTCAAGACTATTGGAAATGTAATGTCGCCCTTTAAATTCTAGTGAATTTGGAATTTTCTGCATCTTAGATCATCATGAAATCAACATCCCAATTTTTTATTCACAAAATAAAATTATGACTGTAAAGAAAAATTTCGGCATTTATAAGATTACTTCCAGCACTTTAACTCTACAGTGTATATCACTTCCGATTTCTTTAATCGAGTTATTTTCATTTTTGAATGGGAAAAAAGATCGGCGTGACCTATTGTTCAAACGCTGAGTTAGTAGCAAACGGATAATAAGTATGTCTAAATCATTTTTAATAGTATTTACAGGATATCTTGGATCGCTCGAAGACAATACATTTATTTTTAGAATTGTGCTTTTAAAATCATTGGCATTTGATTTCTAATAATTCAACCAAAACTTCCCATAGTGATATATTACAAGTCATCCCAAGGTCATACAAATTTTCAAAATTTATTTCCACAGCCTGAACTAGACTTCCTTATTTTCCGATATTTCCATACATTTTAGAGTGTAAACTAAATGCGTACTTTATTCCTTGGTTATTTCCCTGTTTTTACAAAAAGACGTCTTGGTTTGGAGAACAGTCTACTGGGCTATTAATTTTTTATGAAAAATATAGAAATAACACCCAAATTAAATTATGAATATTCAAAAGAGGACATTTACGTAAAAATATCAAAATTGACCGAAGGAGGCGTAACGTGCAGTAGACCGATTCAATAAAAGACAAGTCTCGGTTTGGAGAACGAAGTTTATCAGTCTACTGCGCTAATCATTTTTTCAAGAAAAATATAAAAATATCACCCAAATTAAATTATGGATATTCAAAAGAGGACATTTAAATCGACAACATGTAAAAATATCAAAACACTGTCCAAAGTAGGCGTTAAGGAGACTAATGCACTTCGTTCTCCAAACCGAGACTCGTCTTTTTACATTGAACATGACTCGAGAGGCACTAAATGATTAAAATGACACTTACATTGTTACATTAAGAAAGACTGAAAGTAGGGTCTCGTTGTATATGGCCCAACTGATAAATCTACTTTCATTAAACTCTGAGGGTGCTTTTCGAACCACTATGCATAGCCGAATACCCCATATTAGAAATAAGAGTTCACCTGAAAAAGAAAGATATGTAAATGTAAAAAATCCACTGCGCTCAACAAGGCTAGATTAGCTCCTCGTCTCCAGTTTTCAATTCCATAATTGGAAAGACTATCGTAGAAAGGAGACGGGGTCATGGAAATGGAAACATATTAGGTAAAAATGGAAAAGTTATTGTGACATACGAAACTAAGGTCAATATCTAGTAATTGTACCAATCTTTCAACTCAACAGATACCATTTATTATTAAAGCTGCACTTTAAGACATAGCCACTTGTTCGTGCTAAGTACTTAAACGCATTTAGCATCACCTAATCGAAGTCTCAATACAATTTGTGTTATCTAATGGGACCATTTTTAAACGTAATTTCAAATTACTCAAGCCTGCAACGGAGTTCGTAAGGTGTTTCTAAATACATTTGGCATTCATGCTTTTTGAGATAATTAAGGTAATCAACTTGCGTGCAGGAAGCCTCGATGAACTTCCCGCCAGATGGTTACATTCTAACTGATAGCGAACGTTAATTAAACGTTAAGCAACGTTAATTATGCATAGCTAAAAATGTTAATCCGATCACACATCTATCTATTTTTAACAAAATGTATTAATTATTTCCTGTGTTCCTATATCCTATAGAAAATACTCTGCTCATGTGTGTGTAATTTCTTATTCATTCATCAAAATCTCTAGCTAATTGAAAAATAATCGTGACGGCTGTTATAATTACCTATGGCCCCACAGTAGTCCCAAACGTCCCAGGAACATTGGAATGCATATAAACCACTAGTATGAACGCCTGAAATAAAGAAGCAAGTTATATAACAATATTGAAATCTCTATAATTAATTTATATCGTGGATGTATCACCCCAAAGGTGTTATTTTTATTCATTTTTAAATTTTGGGATATTTTGTGGATTTTTCGAATACCTTCTTATACCTACATTCCCTTCCATACGATTGGCACATCAAAAGTCCCTTTGGATAGCGTACACACCAAAAGTCCCTTTGGATAGTGTGCACACCAAAAGTCCCTTTGGATAGTGTGCACACCAAAAGTCCCTTTGGATAGTGTGCACACCAAAAGTCCCCTTGGATAGCGTGCACACAAAAAGTCCCTTTGGATAGCGTGCACACTAAAAGTCCCTTTGGATAGCGTGCACACCAAAAGTCACTTTGGATAGCGTGCACACCAAATGTCCCTTTGGATAGCATGCACACCAAAAGTCCCTTTGGATAGCGTGCACACCAAAAGTCCCTTTGGATAGCGTGCACACCAAAAGTCCCTTCGGATAGCGTGCACACCAAAAGTCCCTTTGGATATTGTGCAATTTTTTCTTCAAACATAGACAGGCTTTAACATTTTACCAAAATGAATCTTCGGTTTCCAAACCTTTGGAGGGGAATGTATATTTATATATTAGATACTTATATACATTATGTATAATTAAACAAATAAATATTGACCTAAATAGAACTATGACGTATATTGTGTCCCCGTTCTAAAATTAATGACTATCTACTCTAATAAAAAGAGGAGTAAAGATCACTAAGTTACAAAGCAAACAAATTTATTATCTACGAGGGTTGATCATAAAGTTCTCATAATATCTCTCTAATTTCTTTATTTTTCAATATTTTCCTATGAAATTTTCACAGAATGTGCAGCATGGAATGTTTTATTATTCTAGCAAAAAAGATTTAAAATAACAGAAACATCAAATAAGAAATGGTTGCCATAGTAACTTGAAATCAAGGCACCCGGGGCAAATAAAAAAACTAGCTAGAATAGCCCCCATTAACCATGTTTAAATACATAATAAGTTGTCAAATAAGCTATCAAACACATTAAATTGTCAAATAATATGTGCTCTTGATCATTGTGAACTATTATAATGGTCATGTGGATTGTGTGATCTCATAATGGATGATTGTTATGCTTCATTAGAAGTGACGGTTAGACCCCATGACTGTTTTGTCAAATATCCCGAGGAAAATTGGTTTTGCCCATTTGGTTGAGTCTCGACTGTGGTATCACATCTAATGAAGCATGAAATCATCCCCTGTGACATCACACAATTTACACGATCGATTTATATCATTGTTATTGTTAAAGCACTTAACAACATATCCAAGTTAACATTTTAACGTGTTTGGTAATTCATGAGAGAGTTTATTATGTATGCATACATGGTTAATTAAGCTCATTCTCTCAATTATTTTTATTTGCCCCGGGTGCCTTGATTTCCCGTAACTATGGCAACCATTTCTTATTAAATATTTCTGTTGAACTTAATACTTTTTGCTGAATTAATAAGACATTCTATGCTGCACAATCTGTGAAAATTTCATGAGAATATATTGAAAAACAAAGAAATTAGAGAGATATTATGAGAACTTTATGATCAACCCTCGTATATTTATATTAATAGTGGTATATTAGGAAAATGTAATAATTAATTTGTTTATAATTTGTTAAATAAAGCCTGCCATCTTTTAATAGGATAAGGTATTTGACTCTACATGGACGAATATGTAAGTTTATTTCTGGTTAATAATTATAAAATTTAATTTTCAAAATATATGTAATAATCTCCCATTATAAACAACACTGATAATCCTTAATGTAATCATTTTATAGTCTCCAAATAGAAATAATGCAATGAAAATTCCCAAAGTGTATTTTAAGTAATACTTGCTGTCAAATGTCAATAGTGATAAAAACAATTTCATTGTAGCCTTCAGATTGGAACAACAACTTACATCAAAATGGCATGAAATAGAATCATTTGGGTAAGTTCTATATTGAAAAGAGGTTTTAATGTCAAAGTGTTTCAGTAATATTCGTTTTTATCTCAATTAACTTTTGCCAACACACGTTTTTTTGTAATTTCGCAAATGTTTGTGGCATAATACTGTATAATCATTTATTGCTTATACAATCGATGTGAATAACTACATTTTTATAGCAGAGATGACGTATTTTTATCATGACCAAAACGAATGTTCTGTCCAACTGTATAACTACAGTAAAATTTTAAATGTTTGGAACTACTTTGAATTTAAAAAATAAGCAATCAAATGACTATATTGCAACAGTATATAAAAAATGGAAACATGTGTACAAGTCCCAACTTTTGTATATTTCAGATAGTTATGTATAATGTGCAGCAAAGCTGTGCCCTTTTGTAATTTAGGGAGTTTCAACCATGTTAATTTTTTTCGAAAATAACATGGCAGAGAAGCATCAAAATATAAGAGACGACAGATATGATAGCTAAACTACAAAACAAACTAAAATATACAAAAGTTAGGACATGTATAAATGTTTCTATTTTTACATATTCTGTTTCAATATGGTACTTTAACTGCTTATTTTTGAGGTTCAAAGAAGTTCCAAACATTTAAAAGTTTACTGTAAGCTTGTATTCGCGAATGCAACTTTCGGCTGTCGGCTACCGGATTAACCTAGTGTAATGAGACCCTTCTAGGGGTATCAAGATGATACTGAATGTAATCTAGCAAAAAGAAGACCGGACAGAGGGCCTTTACAAGGATTTCAAAGTGCAAATAATCAATGCAACAAATTTTGCAACATAAAATATTTATTTACAACATTCATAACAATACATGCATGCAGTGATATAAAACAAACAACAAGCAATTTAAAACTAGAGATTAATGGAACGAGTAGGTTATTCCGATGGCCGACACTCGAAAGTTATATTCGCGAATTCGCAAAAGTAAAGCAGGCGAAGTTTCACGAAGATGTTTTACATCGTAAAACAAGAAAATAATCAATAAGTCTCGACAAGATGCTCTTGGATTTTTTTGAAATGTGTAGCTACTGATTTAATTCGTTTACCTTTTGTTATATATGGTCTGCCAACTGCCATTCGTATTGAAAGGTATATGACAAATATCAATACTATTAATGCCAAACGCTTTATTAGGTCCATATCTGATATCTTTATCCTAGCGGCAGATCTTACTCTGAATACAACGGATATGCTGAAAAAGAAAATTCCTGTGTAAGTCATAAGGAGCATTCATTTGAACTAACCAGAATAATTTGAAAAGACAACTTGAGATTTTCCAGACCTTGGTTCGGTAATAGCTTACGCGCAACCCTCTTATATTTAACCTTGGAAGAAACTTTGACATTATCATACTTTTATATGAAGCGTTTGATTACGTCATCATTTATTGCGCAGCACTATATATGTGACATTCCTATAAATCGTTGTCTGTACGTAACAATATCACACTTATGAACATAGAGAGCTGCGCAATAAAACGCTTCATAAGTTATACGTTATACGGGAAAAATAAAAATGCTAGAAGTGAGTTGCGAAATCTCTCTATTATAACGAACACCTGGCCGTGGCTACCTTGTTGTGGTTGTGGTTGTTTTCACTTCATATAGAGTATGAGCTCCTTTGTACTTACCGCCACGTTTTGAGTAATAGTGCGCCATATGATATAGAAAACCCTTGAGCTCCTTTGTACTCACCGCCACGTTTTGAGTAATAGTGCGCCATATGATATAGAAAACCCTTGAGCTCCTTTGTACTTACCGCCACGTTTTGAGTAATAGTGCGCCATATGATATAGAAAACCCTTGAGCTCCTTTGTACTTACCGCCACGTTTTGAGTAATAGTGCGCCATATGATAAAGAAAACCCTTGAGCTCCTTTGTACTTACCGCCACGTTTTGAGTAATAGTGCGCCATATGATATAGAAAACCCTAACTCCCGTAGCCACAATCTTAATGAGCAGGTGAGTATAGTAGGCTCAAAATAATTCACAATCATCTGCAAATATATGATATAATATATAAACACTTGTAAGACGTATGAACATATATGATTTCCCTAAATAAATTGAAGAGTCCCAGTATACGACTTAAAGTCACAGTACAAGATGCTAAAATAATTTAGTGTGTATGACTTTATGTTGCTCGATCACCAAATCTTATTTTTAACTGGTACCACAATAGCAAAAGGACCAAAGCTGAAAGAGTGAACAGATGAACAAAGAAACCAGCCAAAGAAACCAAATCCCCAACATCCCAAAAGAACATCAAATTATCATTCTCCAATTATTCATTTCTAGCTTTTTTTTGGTTAAGGGAGGAAAATTTGAACTGGAAATGAAGCACTGATAATGACGTCATGACTCACGTACAACGCATACGGTTGTTTTCACATAACTACACACATACGTATTCTATAATCTTTGGGAAGTTGAAAGTTATGGTATAATCATGTAGTTCAATTAGTACTTACAAATATATTATGTATCATTATGTGATATCATCAAACGTATTCATTCCTGTTTGCTCTTTATTTGATAAAGAACGTAATTCTCTCAAGCAAAACATGCCACGTCGAAATTATTCACGTCACCATACTAGTCAATGGGCAAATGGGCAAACGCCTGGTTTCTTATCTCGAGTTATGGATTTATGTGGCCCAACTTGCCTATCTGAGGTTCAAAAGCAATGTCTAAGCTACATTTTGACACTAAACTCAATAGGGGTCAAACATCTACTTTTTGAAATAAACACTACCGACAGAAATTGAAATTCACAAAAATGAAGCCAAAATCAATACGCCACTTGACTCGAAATTTTCCTTCAGGCAACCCAAATAAACGCATTTTCAGAAGAAATGGCATGTTATCATTGCAAAAAATGAACACTGTACCTACATACTAGCTTACTGACTCGTCATGATCAAAATTGTGTTCGGACTACATTCATTTTTTAAAACTACTTTTTTATATTCAGCGGAAGTGACGGGTACTAGGGCAGTTTTGCCAATATTACAAATATTAAGAGCAAGGTAAGGTCAAGGAATCAAACATGTCAACGTTGTGTTTTGTCTAAGGGAAAAATATAATGCACTATAACTAGGGGTTTAGTGTACTATTATAAAGTGTTGCTCGTATTCTACAAATATCGCAATAAATATGAGAAAAATAGTAATATCCTATTTAAAAGTTGACACGTTGGTATTTACAGGTGTCTGTGTTTTTGAATGTGTCTGTAAGATTAGAATATTTTCTAACAATAGTACTTTAGATTCATAAAGTGTACAATCTAATAAATCTTCGTAAACCAGTTCTATTCCAATACTGTTTATTATGCATTGTTTTTCTTTTTTCTCTCTGCTATGGAAGTTAATCGCAAATATCTACTATCGTTCCATGGTCTTGTGGTTTCTGGGTGGTTTCTAGGTGCTGAGGGTGAGGGTATGGGACTGGTTTCTTCTTACATTGTTTCCGTGAAAAAATGGCAGAAATAGTGGGATACTTATTTCTCCAAGGCCAGAACGTGTTAATTACTACAAAGCCCAGTCCGTGTAAATCTCGAATTGGTTTAATGATGTACAAGTCCACTTGATTGCATCAAAATATTTTCTTGTCAGGTTTCGCCAAAGCTTTGCTCGGACTCTGATTTAATATGTACCGAGAGGATAGCATAAATCAGAACACGATGTCAAATAAAGTACAAATTAGAATAGTGTATTAAAAACGAAGATAAAATATATCCGCTTTTCACTCCCCAGACGACCATAAATCATAGTTGACAAATTGCATACTGAACTTATGCCAAACTGAAATAAAAAATCTCATGCCTGATTTCTCCTCGACAGTTCCCTTTAAAACTCAATAAGGTTCAAATCTAAAATGATATGAACTCTAATCCTTGCTATTTCCTGCACAGTTTCCTTTAAAACTCAAAAAGGTTCAAATTTGAAACGATGTGAACTCTAATCTTTGCTTTTTCTTGGACAGTTCCCTTTAAAACTTAATGAGGTTCAAAATAATAATATGAACTCCAATCCCCGCTATTTCCTTTAACCTTGATTTCTATTAACATATAAAAGGACACTGCTGTATTAACAGGCACACTTACCGGGCAATATAACAACAAGGCTCCTAATAGGATGATCCGCAACAACATTGGGCTTGCGGCTTTTAGGACCTACAATACACAATAACGAAACAAAATGTCAGTATCAAAAACGTCCAGAATCTAGACGTGCCGTATGTCGGTGATTGAAATTGATATGATTTTAAGTATTACCCGATGATACAAAACGCCATTGATATTTACAAGTGATATATCACAAGGGGGGATATTCTCTTAGTGGATATCATAGTTCTTTAATTAAATCGTATTGACGCCTTCTTAGCTCCTGTCTCTGAAGCCTCTTGCAAATATTGAAAAATCTGTGCAGTGAGAAAGCATATATGGAACGATTCCCGGAACAAGAAGCATAAAGGGAAACATTAAAAACGAAACAATAACGACTCATATAAATCTTAAAAGCCAAAGTAAACATAAACAAAAAGCTGAATTCAATCTAGGAACCTCACAATCTATACCCATTTAAGTGTCACTCCAACCAACGGAAGAATGGCGAAGCGTGCTATCGTATGTCTTGTTGTACCACAGAAAAATCAATGGAGAACAATTTCTATCAAGGGAAATGTGTCGAATGGGTTACAGGTTCACGGTGTGTATTCACACTCGACAATATATAAATCACGTACACCAATAACACTGTCATATTGTGTTAGTGTTACCTAACGATATATCAGGGTCTCTAATAGACATTTCCAGGATCAATGGCCCTCCACTTTATTTGTTGATACACACGATCGATCGTGCCGCCGCCGGTGTTAGGGTCGAAAAAGATGATCATTAATCCGTTAAACAATCTCGAATCGAGAGACAGTGACAAGAGAGGCCGATTTATGCAAACAAATTAGGAAGGTAGGTGTTGATAAATAGAAAGCCAGGTATTTCCCCTTTCATTATGAAAAAAACGTGCGATGCATGTATCGTTAAAAACAGTGGTGATTTTTGCATACTACATAATACATATAATATAGATATATGTTTTATTGTATTACATTTGTACAACATTGTACAACATGTTCAGCATTTTGATAACACATTTTCTATTAGATGAGAGAAACATCGTGATGCGTCAATTTCAGGAATCCAAGAAAAACAAAAAGGCATATTGTTTCATCCGTATACAGAAATAAAACAATGCGTAACGTAGAATCGAATTCCTACCGCCTTATCCCAGTTCATACCAGCAATTATTTACGATTCTATCAAATACTAAATTAGCAAGATGAATATCCTGATAAATTGATACAACTAGTAATACAGGTTTCATAGTAGTGACGTGATCAAAATTAAGAACATGGCTTAGAAAAGATTCAAATTGCCGGGGAGACAAGTCAGCGCACATGTAATCAATAATTCTAATTTGACAAAAATGCCAGAAAATCAGGCAGTTCATTACCATTTCAAAGAGAATGTCGTTAACATGTAAAAGAAGTGATTTTAAGAATGGGATATACTGATGTCAATAAACCCATATACAGTTCGTATCGACAATATTTAATCAACTTTATGAAAGAACCTGACAGAACAATGGGAAATGGGCCTCCGTATCAATTCTTGAAAGTTAACATCGGCTTATTAATTCCACGTAATTTCTTTTTAACCATTGACTGAGGTATCAACCTTCGGACATCGTTGGTCAGTTTGTACATAGAGTATATAATGATGAACTTTGATGTCTTCTTCATTTCATTTGTTCCATTGAATTTCGCATCTTATACATGACCGCCATGGTGTTTTACGTATTGGTATTGTATAATTCTACCATCCATTACATCGTGCTAATAGTGATGATTTGACAGTCCTTTACAATTCACGTAAACAGGTGATCAGGTGTGTTTGCTAATGGTATACATTTGTCAATGCCATGAACCTGTCAACAGTTACCAATAACGGCATCATTTTCCATACTCGCTTTCCAGCTTGAGTAGCTTGAATTTCAATCAAAAATACTTCGTAGATTCATCCTGAGCTTGGATATCCAACACGATCATTTTCACTACAAGTACGACCCGTTTCATTTCATATTACGCGAATCAAATTCTCACCCTCTTCAGGTTTGACAACCAAAAGGTCCCTGCTGGGCAGCGTGCAAAAAGTATTTGAGCCATCAAAAAATTCTAGAAAGCAGGTCCGATGTCCTGTTAAAGAACCCCTATTCTTACTATTGAAAATGGATTCTAGCAATACTATCCAACAAGAATCTACATTGTACTTATTTAGACTCAATCAACTTGAGTTCTTCTGAGCTAATGAGTAAGAATAGAGGTTCTTTAACAGGATATAAGGCTTAACTAAGGCTTTTTTGAACATTTTGGCCACTCTATGTATTTGTTGTTTTAATATTTATTTGTTCCAAGGTCGGAGAATGAAATGAATTTGTTGAAATCGCCAAATATAAACAAACATGAACATGTGGTCAAACAGCAAATCTTCGGAACAAATAATGGCCAGGGGCACGAAAACACTTCATTTGAACCTTTACCCACCTTAACGTCTCTATAGTTGATAGTAAACCACATGAGTACAAATATCCACACCATAACTAGTGAGTTGAGGCCTAGAATGGCTCTCCTTTGGTCCCAGTGAAGGCTGATTATACACGGCTTGTCATCAACACATTTATCACAGCCAGGGGCGCAAGGAAGACAGGAGAAGGACGAGTCGTAGTAGTTATCCATGGGATTATCCTATGAAAATAGAATTCAATTTATTTCAGTTGTCGAACTTTTTGTCAAGTTCCAATACAAGTGTGAATCATAAGTGATAACGATATTACGGTGAAGTGGATTGCAGAAAAAGATTTTTCTACGAACTAGAAATATAACTATAACACTACTAGAAAGTGTATACAATATATAATATTGTAATATTGTAAACGACGCATCATTGTATACCCTAATGTATTTAACGCCATTCCTAATGACACAAATGTAACAATTTTGTACGAACTGCTCTCAAGGTGTTGATTCTACAAGTATAAGTATAAGTGTTGGAGCAATGCAAAAAAGATGCGTACACGCTAATAAAAGGGGTACCGTACAGACCCCTGGTACACGATGCAGTATACCAAGCGATTCGAAACGTGGTACATGAAGAGTTGAATGAGAAAGTTGTAGGGAAATGTCATCAGGGCAAAGTGGGACGGACCATATTACTTTAAGGGAAAATGGTTAATGAAATTGAAACACGTGATGCCCTTTCTTACCTCCCTTTTTGAAGAGTCTTCATTTTCACTCTTTCAATAAGATATAATCCCTTGATCTAGCCTTACCCAACCAAAGTAAGTTTATCAAAACCCCGACTATCCAATCAGATTTACGGTCAGATAATTCAAAACATTCTTTAGCTTTTATTTCATATTCAATATCCTACGAAAAGTCACGGTGGCTACTTGTTGGACACATTAAGATCTAAATAATGGCGAACTGTACGTTTTTGAGGCACCACTTTTTGCGGACGGTGTTTGGCAGTTGGTGTTTGGCAGTTGGTGTTTGGCGGTTGGTGTTCGGCGTCTGTAACAAATGGCAGGTGGTGACATTTTTCGTGTTTATGTCTTATTCTATATTGTCCTAACTGAAGGATAGAAATCACAAGCCTTCATATGTCAAGATAAATGATACAGAAAGTACATCAGTCGTTAGTTAACTATAATAGAGCTTAATATGGAGGTAGTGCAAGAAGGAGTTCAACGCGTGGTATAAGACGGACTAAGCAGATCAACTAAATGTGTTTCAACATTATTTAATTTTTTTTTTCTAGCTGGTTTAACTCTAGGCGGATTATCTCGTATACGCAATCAGTAATTACAAACCGTCGACTAAGAGAAGTGTTAATCCGAACAGGAAGAGAGGATCTCATAAGGCCTGTGTCATAAGAAATGAGTATAAGCCCTTGCGACGGATCCTAACATTTGTTTTAAAAATAACCATGGGCTTTCAACAGATAAAATTGATTTGAAGAATTTTTATTGGAAGCCAATTAACGTTAATTTTGTTAAGATTTCGAGAGAGAAAAATATTTTGATTTTTTCTAATTGATAGGCCTTAGATGAAGGTTAAATAAAAGGTTCCCGATGTTTACCTACATGTACGTATTGTACTCAGAAAACGCGGAGACAATACCAGGAAAAAAGCCTTGTAGCATTCAGCAAACGAGATGCCCTTTTAACGCATACTCAACCTAATAGGATAATAAAACACGATACACCTGCAAAACATACCAAACTGGAAAATAATACAAGCCAAAACGTCCATCGAACCATTCTCACCTGCATTTTCTTGTCGTATTGTGCTTCAATCTCAGTTCCGTTAAAGTATTGTTGGACTGATGATGTATCTGGGAAGTAAAAACCATCTTTACAAACACATTGGTACGATCCACGGCTGAATCCTTGCCCTAGTATTGGTACACACTACAAAAGAAAAGAAAATCCCCACTTGAATTAAACGGATTATCATAATCCATCTCTGAATCTCCATTTGTATTTTTCCATCATCTGTCAAAACACAATAAAAAATATTGTCGTATAAATGTACTGGTACCAGCTACGATCCTCGGTTGAATCGTTGTATTGGTATGCAAATAAAAAGAAAATATTCACATAAAATAAACACATATAAACAGACTGCAAAAGAAACGAATATATCAATTTTTAAAAATAAACACATTGTAAAGCAAACACATTGCAATATTGTCTCTGTCATCTTTCCAAACACACAATAGAAATATACAGTTTTACTAATTTACAGGTATGAGGTGTGATCCTCGGCTATATCCCAACCCTGGTATTCGTCAGGGAGATCCAATCAGTTCGTATTTGTACATTCTATGTGCAGAAATCCTATCATGTAAGATACGTCAAGAAAAAAATGTTTGTGGTATCGAAACACCTGGTAAGAAAGAAATCAAAATTGCACAGTTAGCAGATGATACCACTTTATTTTTAAAAGATAATCAGTCTGTTGAAAACGTTCTTAAAATTTTAGATGATTTTGGAAAAGTATCTGGGTTAGTAATAAATAAAACAAAAACTGAAGCAATGTATATAGGAAATAACACACAAAACAGAGATATGAAATTTGCTGGTCTTAGCTGGAAAAATGATCCAGTTAAAGTCCTAGGTGTATACATATGTAATGATCAGAAACTAAGTAATCAAAAAAACTGGGATTTCAGGGTAAAAAAGTTTAAAGATCAATTAAAGAAGTGGCAGAAAAGAGATCTGACTATTCATGGAAAGATAACCATCGTAAAAACAAATGCATTGCCACAATTACTTTACTTAGCCTCTGTTATTACCATGCCAGAAAATGTACTTTTAGATTTAGAGAAAGCAATGTATAACTTTATATGGGATGGAAAACCTGATAAGGTTAAAAGAAAGACATTAATTGGAAATTATAAACAAGGAGGTTACAAAATGATTGACTTGAAAAGTAAAATCAATAGTCTTTTATGTAAATGGGCCAAAAAGCTCATGGAAGAGAATAAAAATGACAACAAACAATCATGGAAAATTTTACCAAAATATTACCTTAGTAAAGTATGTAATTCAAATATTTTGTTACGAGCTAGTGAGTGTTATGACAATGTTGCTAAATATGTTCATAAAGATGTACCTTTATTTTATAAAAATGTTATCAGTTCTTGGATTAATTTTAACAACCAATCAACACAATCACAACAAGAAGTGGCTAATAGTCTATGGTTAAACAAGAATGTAAAATATAAACATAAGGTTTTATACTTAGAGAGATTAATGAAGAAAAATATATTCTCTTTAGATCACATATATGAAAATGACAATTTAATACCTCTACAATTGTTAAATGAAAGAACCAATTTAAACTGTATCTTAGAGTATAACATATTAAAGGGTATATCTCGATGTAAAACAACACAAGTAAAAACAGTAGACACAAAATACATTTATAATGTGTTTATTAAGAGTTTATTTCAAAACCCCACATCAACTGTAATAACAGATGTGCAAAATAGTGAATTTTATTGGACACTTGCACATCATTTGACAAAAGAAACAAAGTTGATTACATTTCAGTGGAAAATACTCCATAACATTGTTGTCACAAATAATAGTTTATTCAAAATGAAGAAAAAAGAAACCCCTCATTGTACAAAATGTGCTGATAATGTGCTAGATACTGTGAAGCACAGATTTGCATCATGTACTTCTATTCAACCTTTATGGGGTATAATTAAACAACACTTTATGTATAACATGTCAGAAGATGAAATAATACAAGGCATTTTTAAAGATGATGTTCAAACTAACAAGTTAAATTATATTATACTCATTGCAAAGTGGTGTATACATAAACATACTCTAGGGTTTTATAATACTATTGACTTGTACTATAATTTTAAAATAGAGCTCTCCAAGAGAAATATTATTATGTAATGCAACAGGTAACTTATGTAAACAAATTTTTAAATTGATGTAATCTTTTTAAATTATCTGAAATAAAAAAGAATTTTAAATATAAAAACCCTGGTATTGGAACAAGCTGCAAAAGTAATATAACATGGCACGGTTAGGGCTTATCTGTCATACTTTTCTTTATTCCTTTTTTTATTCATAGAAAAAAATTGAAAGCAGTTACATTAACGTATACAATACGAGGGGTGATCAATAAGTAATGGACGCTTTTTTACACAGACGCTTTTTATAGACCAATCCCTTCGATTTTCTTACCAGTGATACATCATTCAATTATCTATCAACTCTGAAGATTTGAAAACAAAACATGTAATATATTTTGATATATCTTTATTTCCGTGAAGGATGTGTAGGTACCCCGGGACCGACATGACGTCAAACATTCTGAAGCTATTTTAGCTTGTTTAAGATGCAATGCAGTTGAATGCAGGCTGAACAAAACAAACTATAATGGTCATGAATTACCCCATTTTGTTATGCCATAGTTGATTTTAAATAATTTATCATCACTATGTGGTATTTATGCCACATTCATTCCACAGGGCCCTCTAAATAGGTTCCATCAAGTGCTACATGTACAGAATTCCTCATCCTCTTAACTCAAGATTGTGAGACAAGGCTGAATGCATTCTCTGACATGGTAGCAAGATGCAATTGCACGGGTTGTTTTATTTCATCAATGTCAATCAACCTGTGTCCTTTCTCTATAGAAATAAGTAGTATAGAAATAAACAAGTCACATGTGAGCAGATCTGGACAATATGGTGCATTGGCCAAGGGCTCAATTTTGAGGTACAGGGATATTGTTTTCTGAGCATTTTGAGATCTGTGGGCAGGTGCATTGTCCATATGGAGTAGGGTGTTCCCTTCTCTCACCACCCCTTTCTTCCACAATGCTTTCTCAAATTGACCTGCAAACCCCTTCCATACAACACTCTGACATCACAATACTTTCTGTTTATGTGTTACCAGTCAGCAAAAGATTTCAAACAACACAACACGTGTTGCATATAAAAAGTTCAAATCTAACGGAAATTTATCAAACTGGCTAAAAACTGAATATGTGACGTAAATGTCGATCCCGGGGTACCTGTACCTCCTTCACGGAAATAAGGATATATCAACATGTATTACATATTTTGTCTTCAAATCTTCAGAATTGATAGATAATTGAATGATGTATCACTGGTAGGAAAATCAAAGGGATTGGTCTATTAAAAGTATCTGTGTAAAAAAGCGTCCATTACTTATTGACCACCCCTTGTATACATAATATTGTACTTTTATTTGGCGTGGGTGAGTACAGCTCGATGTCATCAAATGCATTCTCTGGAGACAGTGTGAGTCTTGTATTTACCTTGTCCCCGATTGACATTGTCAGAACCTCGAGTCCCAAAGGAGCTCGAAGAGATCGTTATTCAAATATAAATTGACATATCGTTCGAGAAAAGGACTGATTTTGAATAGAAAGCACCTAAAATGAAGGTAAGTTTGACAACAAGATGCGATTAATATTCTTTGAAAGCTCATAATATGGCTTGAAATCAATGTAGGAGGCTTTGATGATATCATCAAGTGAAGTTAGTTTGTCATATTAACCATCCGTTCATATATTAGCTATACGTTCATCAAAGATGTCAAAATCAATTGCAGACTCGAGAAGCGTAAAATAAGCAATGAAATACAAATTTTGACATATCCTCGCAACTTCTGGATGAATAAAGGGTTATTAGAAAAACCATGGATCTTGGATAGAAAGGTTTTTGTATGAATACTTGTGTATTTGTGTACTTGTGTCTCATTCATTCTTTATGAGCTTTGACAGGTCTTCTATACCCAGTTGTTATAACAGCAAATCAAGAATGGATGATCTTGCAAAGGCACGAGTACAAATAAGGTTGAAGATCACAGTAGAGTTTCCCATAGGTGGCCATTATAACATTTTACCCTGTAACTTATTAACGATTAGTATCCAAGCCTAGTGCAACATACCACAGTGTTCGGGAGAGACTCGCCTAGCCTGCTATAACAATCTTACCATGGGTTGTCCACCGAATTTTTGAAATAAATAAACTTGAAGACACTAACCCCCTCTATCGTCAGATTTCTCAGAGAATTCTGGTAAAATCACCAAGGTCAAAATCACTCCGCCGCCAGCTTAAAATGAGATTTCCCACTGAACTCTGACATGTTTTCAGATAAATTAGGACCTACCCTATAAATATTTATTCCCGATTAACTTCCCAAACGCTAGATGGCGCTCCAATGGGGTAGGGAAGGAGAAAATGACTTTTTATTCAGAAAACCAAATCACTAACGGTAACCGCTAATGTCCTTACTCAGGACTATATCCTAATAGTAAACTGAATTAGTTTGTTTTCTTCCAACATGGTTATATAAGCATTGTAGGCATTATCCCGATCACAATGGTATATAACAATCCTATATTTGAGAAAAAGCACGGAGGAAAATTCAATCCTTATAGACACAGGTCCTTTTAGCAAAATTCAGGAAATTTGATTTTGAGATTTCTTGAAATTTCTTTGGGGTAGGGGTACACCTTACAGATTGCATCACAGATTGAGTACACCCAACTGAGGTGAACATGGCCATATGGGGTATCATTGGAAAGCGATTTCTACAATAAAGTTCAAGTGATATCCATGCCAAGGCGTTCAATTGCATCTTATGACGTCATATTGGTAGGAAGAAACAAAGGTTCATTCAAAACTGCCCCGCAAACAATTGAATGGCACGGGAGAATGGAATTCGGGTTACTTGGCACAGTGGCCTTGCCCCCAAAACACCAAAATTGCTTCAAAATGTCACGATTTTGGTAGCATTGTTCAGCTAATATACAGCCCTTTAATATGATATGCGCTATTAGGCTTCTCAATGAACTAAAAAACCTCAAAAAGGGATAAAACCTTCAAAATGCCCCAAAAAAGCGCCTT